TACAGCTCTTTATTCCAAGTCTCAGTGACCCAGTTCCTGCTCTAGCTCCAGCTCCGCTTCTAGCTCCAAATCATTGAGAAGACTAGGATATTTTTATACTGTAGGGGCATTGGTAAAATCTTTAGCTGATAGGTATTTTGGGGATGCCTCATTTGCGTGTGGAAATGGGCTCCCGCCAGGCTGCCAGACTGTCAGACTGCTTGAAAAATCACATAGGAAAGCATGGTATTTCCAGAGCCAGAGGCCATGTTTTCTATGGCGGCTACTTCAAAGGAGAGTTAGGAAGATGCCAGGTACTCTGCTGAAAGGAGTCATCTGCATATGAAACCGAGCCCGTGGGCCACCCGGACATGGAGAGACTACGACTTCACAGCAGAGGTCCCCAACAGTTAGCCACCATGTGGGTGCTGGGAATTGAATCTGGGTCTTCTACAAGAGCAGCTGCTGAGCCATATCTCCAGCCTTTTTAAGCTTTATTTTCAATACTGCTTGAACACAACAATCTGTTTGAGCTGTTTAAAGTACAAGTCAAAACAGACAGTTGTCCTGCTTATGTATCTAAAAGTTTATCTCTTTTTGTTAATTTTGGAAGTACATGTCTCTCATACCATTCCCTACCCTTTACCCCAAGTTCAAGCTATAATTATACTAACTCATTTATTATTAAAATATTAATATTTAAATAAAAGGTGGTAAATAAGGATTAGCTGCACAGGAATAAATTATACTTTAAATCTTTTAAAAACAACTTATACTTTAAATTTAAAAAAAAAATTTTCCCTCTCAATTCCACACCCTTAGCATCTGCTGGAAAAACATCTTTTTTAAAAAAGTTTTATCAAAACCCATGGTTTTATATAAACTAAGTTAAGAGCCAACTAATGACTGCAACCAGTTCCTCTCATTAATTGCATCCCAGTTGCATGGCTTCCATGAATCGCCACATAACTTGTAAAGCTATACCAGAAAACTACAACTTGACAAGAGAGAACTCTTCCTCCACACGAATAGCAATCATGTTCCATGTGCCTTCTCCTCCTCCAATACTGCCCTTCCTGTGCCACATTATGTTAGCCTATGCCTGTCCTCCAGCACACTGCCCATGACTAGATCATCACCCGTGACCGCTTTGATGGACATGCTTCTTCATTTATAAAACAAAGAACCAGGAACTATAGAAATTACTTTTATAAAATGGACATAATCTAGACTAATGGCTTTTAAATCATCTTGGCAAACTCGCTGAATTTTGTGTGCTTTTGTGACCTGGGCACCTGATCTTGTTTCCTGGAAACCTCAGTTTGTTACATCACCCAAGAACATAAGGAATGAATGTCAGTATGCTTGAGAATTAACATGTCAAAGTGCTGAAAGACAGCACATTCATCTTCATTGAAAGCATGAAGATTGAGAAAGTTGCCTGGCATTGCGTCTATGAGCTATTCTAGAACTAGGGATGAAAAGGCAAGATTGCCTCACAAGCTAAGGGTGACTCCAAGCTTGTTCTTCCCCAACTGAAGCAGCTCCAGCAGCACAGTTCCAGAACACAATTCCATGGTATGGTTCCAAAAGACATCTGGGGGAACAGGTGTCCTCAGAGTTCAGGCCTACTTTTAAAAACTAAGGTTAAGAGTAAGCTGTTGGGCCTGGAGAGATGGCTCAAAGGTTCAGAGCACTAGCTGCTCTTGCAGAGGACACCCACATGGCGATTAGCAACAATTTGTAACTCCAGTTTCAGTTTGTAGCCTGAGATCTGATCCCCTCTTCTGACTTCCATGGCCTTACATGGCACACGTACACCTACATATATGCAGGCAATGCATTCACACACATAAAATAAAAATAATAAATAAAATATTTTGTAAAAAAAGAAGTCAAGCTGTTTTATCAATTGTAATGTGGTATGGTAACGCTGCGTAACACCTCTTTGAAATAGACTAATAGTATTTTCATTTTTAAAATAGATCAACTGAATTACAGAAGAAGTCAAGTGATTTTTATAAACTCTGCAAGAAATTAACAACTGAACTCAACTTAATCCCTGACTCACCCCATAATGGTTCTCGCCTAACAGGGATACAGCTAAGGGACTCAACAATGCAGAACTGAATCAGGTGAATTAAATATGTACAATGGCACTTTCATAAACAGAACGCAAGGAAAGTATCTATAACCCATTTAGACATCAGAGACCCTAAGTCATATGACACTGTTACACAAAGGTTAAATCACCCAGTAGAGATAGAGATAGTGGCCTGAACTGTCATTTTACTTCAGAATATATGTTCTGAAACCTTTTATTATCTATGGGAATTTGTCTTCAACATGAGTGGAAACTATGAGAATCAGAGAGTAAATTATATTACAGTACAAGGTCTTAAAACATTCTCAACCCAGAAGGAATTCTTTAAATTATTTCATTGATTAATGGGTTATACACGTGTATATTTGTGTCAGTGTCGGTGTCGGTGTAACATATACATGCATGGGATTTAAAGTCAATAGGTTGTGTCTGAATCCACAATGACTTGTGGTTTCAGGTAAGTTGCCCCAGTTCTGTGAGTCATTGTTAAAAGAATGACAAGGATAAGACCTACTACATTTGCAAAGCTTTTATACTTGTAAGAACCCAGCTCAGTGTTATGTACTTAGTAAATGTTTTCATAACAGAAACATACTAAAATTTCAAATTTGGTAAAACATAGGATCTAAATGCTGATAACTGTCAATTTGGGGAAGGAACATTTAGTTGGTTCTCAAAAATAAATGTTGGTTCTCAAAAATAATGTGCAATGCTGAAAGGAATTTTTTAATGGCCCAAAATGTATTTTTAAAACAAACTTTTAATTTACTCCACATATCATCTGTAATAGGATAAACAATAAAACAAAGGAAAAAACAGATGCAGTGTGGTTTCATTCCAGTATAAATGATTACCCACAGAATCAGCTTGCAGACACAAGGTCACTGACAAAGAAAATTTTTGACACATTTACAAAGGAAGAGGAGTAAAGAGCTGGGGTTTAACTGGTCACAAAAGAACTTCAAAAGGAGGAATATGAGAAACATCCTTTTAGAACAATTTTCTTTGCTCCTGGAATCAATCATAACATTCAGAAATGTATTACCTGTATTAGTGTCCAGTCAATTGTTTTCCCACTACGTACTTGTCTTAGCTCTCTAATCTTTCAGTGTACATTTTTCAAACGCCAGTTGCTCAATCCACAGGCAAAATTAATACAACAGAAGTTCATTAAAATGAGGCCAGTGAAGAGTAGTAATTTCATGAAAGGAAGATACTACAAACTAAATAAACTCTATTATATTTAGGTTGGTATTTATTAGAGTTAAGCAGTTGAAAATTTTTCTAGCCAAAAGAAGCAAAATGATGATGATGGTGGTGGTGGTGGTGATGATGATGATGATAATCACAGAGAAAATGTCAATTTGGAGAAAAATGTTATGCCAAAATAAGTTAATAAGCCACACCATTGACACGCCTTTTGTGTCTTAATATTTATATGAGCCAGTTCATGGAAACTGAGCACGGTAATGCCTTATCCAGGAATTCTAGTCTTCGGTTTAGGGTCACCCACACTCCTCTCATACAGTCAGATCCACCAATCCACTGGCGCCACAAACAGCGGCTCAGGTGTGCTGAGGTTCTCCTTTGCCTCCTTCAGTGTCTAGGGTAAATTCCACTGGCTTGGAAGACTCCTCCACTGGAGTACTGTGTTCCTGCCTCCCGTGACCGTCTTTGGTCTCCTCGTGGGTGGAGTGTTGTTGGCAGTCCTGCTCTGAGCTACTCCAGACATAGCCAGGCAGCGTCACATGGCTATCGAGCTGTCTGCTGACAGTCTTGGTAGGTTTGCCAGAAATGAGCACCAGGCGAGCGCTGGCCCCCATCTGGGACTGGCTGCTGGTGCTGTGAGTCACAGTGGTGAGCACCGAGCCGTACCTGTGGCTTCCACAAGGTGGCGTCCTTTTCCAGTCGACAGACAGATTCCACCGATTCCACATCTTTTTCACCTCAGCCTGAACCTACATGCAATAAAATATGTTGTGTATCAGAAAGGATAAGGGAGCCTCTGTATCCGTGTCCCAAGGATGCTTGCCTGGATTTCACGGATAATAATAATCACTGATTCAGATTCTTCTGTGTTCCAGGGATTGTACAGACCTATGCCCTCTCTACACTTTAAAAACCCTTTCCAATCAATGTTATTTTTAGTATTTAAATAAGAGCTGAAATGTTGCTGCCTTATAGGAAAGAAGAAACAAGGATTCCACATTTGAGGAGAAATTAGAGATGAGCACTGGCAGTGAGGACCACAGGACTCTGCATCTGACAAGTCCATCCAAACCCCTGCACTGAAGACCTGACCAAACCCTGAGATGGCTACCTGTAACAGGGTCATGCACAATCCCAGGATAACCTCAGCCTTCTCTAAAGTATTTGCTAGAGAAAGTTTAATGGTGTAGAGCAAGTCTGCTGTTCACTGTAGCCAGTGTACCTGATAATAGTCCTCCTACCTCCTCTGTTAGAGCATTTACTACAAAGGGCTATCACACTGATACTCAGAAGCCTCTCTCTAGTGCCTGAGAGTCATTCCTCTGAGTTGTAGCCATCAAGAGGATAAGGTCTTTGCCTTCCTGTCTCTGTAAAAGGATAGAGCCTTTACTTGGACAACTGACACAGTTAGCCTAATCCCTACAGCCCAACCAGCTCTGCTTTTTTTCATTTCTGACTCTACTGAGTCACAAACACACCAACCTCCTTTATTCCTTTAAAACACCCTTTGCCCAAATCAGAGCAGAACTCAGCTCTGTCCCTTACTCTCAACAGCTACTAAATAAACTGTTCTCACCACTTTAACATTTGGTGTCTGACACCATCTGAGGCTGAGGAATGGAGTGGAAGGTACTCAGCTTAAATGAAACTGCCACACTGTCAACATACATGAGCACATGGAGTGAAGAAAGGATGGGGGAAGGAAAAGCACGCGCAGCTGCGATCTGAACAAAGGCTTGTGATTCCACTCCTTACACTGAATAGTCAATTCTACTGCTGTTTCGAGAGAGCACCTTTTCAAAAGTTCCAGGGGATGCAATGGAGAGCTTGTAAGCTGGTGTCACCTAAACAACAAACTCCTATCTGTTCATCCTGGCAAAAACTAAACAATTGACCTACTGAGCTCTGCTGCAAAATAAGGTTTTTAAAAAGGCAAAAGTAAATCAGGGAAATGACGAATTGCTCCTTAAGCTTGTTATGAAGAGACTGGCCTAACATCCCACAAAATCCAAGTTCTCAATGTGTTTAGAAGCACGTGGTGGTCTGCAGCAGTGAGGAGTGTCTTTGTACTTCTGAGACTTGAACCAAGTTGGGTATTTGAGGGGAATAAAGTGGCAGCCCACCCAAAGCAGGAAATGCTGAAAGATCCAAGGTAAATGTATCATCCAATGTGGTTACGTCTCTGTGGCCGACTTCTGAATAAATTGAAATGTCTGTGTCACCAACTTGTTGGGTAAAAGTTATCTAAATATTTTAATAGATTTGACCTAGGGAAGCTTATAGCTGACTTTTTATAGAACTTGAAGTGGACCAAAAATTTTAGTATTAACTAGAATAAGAAACTCACTGTCCATATCAATGTGTTTTGGATTTTTTTATTTGTTTGCTTGCTTGCTTTGTTTTTGTTTTGAGACTGTAGCCTCAGCTGGCCTGGAACTCACCATGTAGACCAGGCTGGCCTCGATCTCACAAGAATCAGCCTGACCCTGCCTCCCAAGTACTGGGGATAAACAAGTGTGCCAGCATGGGTTTGCAACAGAGTTGACATTTAAAAGTGCTGGAATAGTAAGGTCTTACATATTTGTATTAATGGCTGATTTCTCAAAATAATTTATGATCAACGTGTCCCCTTCTCCCACCTACTATGCCTTATAAATCCTGGGACTCCTCTAAAGAGATTCAAGTACCCTGTGATGGCCACTTTTGAGCATCTATGATCTGAATATGCCCCAACAGTTCTTTCGCTAGAAACTTGATCTCTAATGCAGGGATATTGGGAGGTGGGTCCCTCACAGAGGTGTTTAGGGCTTGAGGGCTCCAAACTCATGAAGGAATTTAATGTTATTAAGAAAGGGAATGAAGTTGTAATCTCTTGCTCTTAAACATGTGAGCTCACTTGCTCTTCAGCCTTCCACCATGGGATGATGCAACAAGAAGACCTGATCAGATGTGGGCCCCCTTGACCTCGACTTCTCCACTGTCAGAACTAAGAAATAGACCTCTGTTCTTTGCTAATCACAGTTTCTTGTGCTCTGTTATAAAGACACGCAATGGATTAAAGCAAAAATGAATTTGGAGCTCCACCTTTCAGGTGCCTGGGGTCCCTTCGGACCTACCTCCCCATTGCAGTAGCAGTAAATGATAGACACGAAGAAACCCTGTAAAACAGAAAAGGATGTGAGCACACTGATGATCCATGATGCCCATAGCATTCAAATGCTTTATGTCAAAACATTTTATGTCAAAACACATGTTGAAAATTGGTTTTTGATGATACCTTCAGAAAATTATTTTCACTCGGTATTTTCCAATTTATTTAGCTTATATTATATTTATTTGAGATCTTTCCTTGGTGTCAGCTGGACCAAATAAATAACTAAATAAAATACTCAGAAGCACACAACTAATTTCTTTTATGGCAGGTTTATTTATATTGCCACTCAAGGATCACATAAAACTCAACCCCTGCTTGGTAAAAAGTGTTTATATGCCTTGAATGCTAGAAGCTACAGATGTAGAATATTATATGTTAGAAGCACAAAGGATCTTTTCATTCACTCAGAAATATCTATTGAGCTCAAACACTGTGCTAAGAGCAGCTCAGCATGAGAGAGGTGCAGAGACGAGACCTGGATAAAATACAAACCAATAGCCACAGGAAACAGAAGGTGATCAAGGTCCTGCAGGTAAAATAACTGTTACAGAGAACAATGCAGTGGGTGTAGTAGCTGAGAAACTCAGCAAAGACCTCTCTGGAATGACGTTTAAGCTGGTATGAGTGACAAGAATAAGAAGTCAACTGAATGAAGATGGGGCTGTGGGGAGCATTTGGGGAAAAGAGTAGAAGAGCAAGCTCGGTCCTGCCCCCACCATCACGTCCACACGAGGAACAGCAAGCGTGGAGCAACAGCAAGGTCTCCTGGAGCATCATGGCAGATGAGGCCGAGTGTCCACAGGCTCCAGGCCACGTAGGCCTGCGTGTGGCAGAAAACGACATTCAAACTTCATACCGAGGAAGCCTTTGGATATTTTTGGCACATAAATAACATGATGAAACATGAAATTTGATGATTTTTTGGAGTATTTTACATGTGAACTGAAGTTCCCTGGATGGCCACACACCTATGTTAAAGATTCTATAGACCGATTAGAACGGCGACTGTGAAGAGCTGGAATGTTTCAGATTAAGTGTCGAAATTATCTTGGATCGTCTTTAGTCTCCTAAATAGTCATTTATTGCCCACCTTGTTTCAGACCTAACATCCTTTTGACTATCAGGTAAAACCTCTGGACTGTATTAATTTAGCAGACCACTAGCTTCCACCAATCCAAGAGCCAAGAATATCATCAGACACCATCTGAAACCCATAACAGAGATTTCCTCTTTGTTATAACCCATTTACCTGATGTCCCCGCCAACATATTTGGTAAATGAATTGATTTAAGTTGTCCTGTTGCTCTGTGACTACAAAATAGTCGTGTAAACACTTCCATGGGGTCAACCGAAAGCTGTGCTCTCAGGCCATGGTCACTCATATTTAGTTTATAACCTCTCTTATTCCCTTTAGAACAAATATATAACTACATTTCAGGTGGCAGAAGGTGGCATGGTGAAGAGCGATCCATACAAGAGATAACTGTCATCGCCTTTCAAGGATGGTAAATCAGGTGGCAGCATTGTCTTCCTGTTTTATCTTCTTTCCCCTTTCACCCTCTTCCCTGTCTTTATCTTCTTTTCGTTTTGTTACTTTCCATACATAAAAGTGGAGGTCTCTGTTCTACAGGAGTGACATATTTTCCAACAGCATACCTTATCTTGCTACCCAGGCTTGTTCCTAAGACAAACAGCTCCATACCAGCTTCTGTGGGGGCCAGAAAATTAACCCGACCTTTAGGAGGGAACACCACAGTGCCAGAGAATATGGTGCTCACACGGTCCTCAGAAGACAGGTCCACCAAGACGGAAAGAAGGGCAGAAAGAGTTGCAGGAGAGAATAAAAACTAATTACACGCACAACATGACAGACCCCGCTGCTCACCTGGAAGGAGTTGAAGAAGAGCTCGCAGTGCATGCGGACCTTCCACCAGAGCCCCGTGAAGGAGTGTGGCTGGCAGATGAACACGATGTAGTGAACACCGAACACCAGCACCAGGACCAGCGTGGACTTGGCCAGTTTCCTAGAAGGAAATGGTAAGCCCTTCTATTAACCCACCTCAGGCGCCTTTCAGGAGCTACAGCTTTCTGGAGAAAATAAACTCCAGCAGTGCTCAGAAGAGCCCACTCTTGCCTAGCTCTGTTACTTATGTTGTCTCTGTTCTGTTGCTGTTTCCCCTCCTGCCTTCTTCTGTCACTTATTTTTTGTGTATGTGTATGTGTATGTGTATGTGTATGTGTATGTGTATGTGTATGTGTATGTGTAGCGTGGTGTGTGTGTGTGTGTGTGTGTGTGTGTGTGTGTGTGTGCTGTTCAGCTATACACACCCATGCAATGAGCATGGTGACGCCAGAGCAGAACACCAGTGTCTCCATTCCCCAATGCACAGCCATACACAGCTTTTTACATGGGTGCTGGGGACTTGAACTCAGTTCTCCACTCCTACCTCCTGAGCCATGTCCTCAGCGCTTCTTGTCACTTTTAAATCAGGTTGTTGATTCTCATTTCCCATAATCAGTATCCCCTAAGTCTTCCTAATCTCTGCTTGTACGTGTCTACTATTCTTGATGATAGGGTGCTATTTTTAAAAAGTTGTTAGATGTCTTTTGTTTCTGACCTGAGTTATCATTGACTTCTGTGTTTGAAGCTTAAAGAAGCATTTCCTCCATCCATGTCAACTACTGTCCTGCCACAGGCAGCACTGGGCTTGTTGAGTTCATCCAACTACCATTGGAGACACTTTGTATTAGGAGCTACACGTGGTCAATTCCTCCTCTTGTTCCAAAAATCCTGTCAAGTACTCTGTCTCCGGCTGTCTGTGCGTCTACTTTTTTCTAACTCTTTTTTCTCAAATAAGACGATTTGACTGACATTATGTTAAGTTTCTTATGCATTTGTAGGTATCCTGGGTTTTCTAACAGGATGGTATGATATTTAATTTTAGGTGTCAACTTTCATAAGGATCACCTAGAAAACCAGTAAAGCATTTTGGTATGTCTGTGAAGGTACCTTCAGAGGACATTGGTGTGTGTCGACAGACTGAATGTGGAAGGCCTACCCCTACTGGTGGGCAGGCACCAACAATCATCTGGGATCCAAACAGAATAAAAAGGTAGGGAAGGTTTACTAGTTCTTTTTCTGCTGCATCTGAATACCTGTCTTTTCTTGCCTTTAGACTCCAAGAGCTCCGGGTTCTACAGCATTTAGACTCTGGAACATGTACCAGTAGGCTCTTTGTTTTCAGACCTCCTCCTTGGACTGACTGTTACATCATTTTCTTCCCAAGACTTTGGGACTTGAACTGGATCCAGGAACTCCAGCTTACAGAAGGCTTATCACAGGCCTTCTCAGCCATCAAAGTCACACGAGCCTGTTCATCAAATAAGTCTTTTCTCATATACCTATTTACCTGTAACTGTCTGCATGTCTGTGCACATCTATATCTGTTCTATCTGATTCTGTTTCGAGACAAGGACCCCAGCTAGTACAGACAGGCTTAGTCTAAATGGTCCCCACTGATCCTTATCTCTTTTATTTATTTATTTATTTATTTTGTTCTTTTTGAGACACAGTTTCCCTGTAGTCCCAGCTGGTTTGGAACTCGCTGTGTAGACAAGGCACCACCACACCCGGCTCTTTTATTTATACCCTTGTCAGTCCCTTTTTCTTCTGCACTGAGGCAAGCTGTCATGCTGTGAGCTGGGCTACTGAGGGGTCTGTGTGGCAAGAGACAGGAGTATCTGGACAAGCGCCAGCAAGCACCTGGATCTGCCAACAGCCATGTGCACTCATAATCTCCCCAATCCAGCTTTAACATGATACCACAGCCCCAAAGGGCATTTCAGTTGCAGCCCTGTAACAGCCTGAAGCAGAGGAGCCACATCCAGATTCCTGACCCACAGAAATAGAACAGCAAGTATATTGTTTTATACCACTAAGGTTGTAAGTATTCAACTCACAGAAACAGATAGCCAGCTCTCATAAGTGCACCATTTTCTGGTTTGGGCTTAGCTTTATTTTGTTTGTACTTCTTATCTAAGAAATTGCCAAATGTGACCTTTTTCTTGTTCATTTCTCAAATTGTCCCCTTGTCCGGGGATCATTTACACCTAAGTAACCTCAAACAATTTAACCTTCTGTTCTTCTCAGTCTCTTCTCCAGTTGCTTTATATAGATTATGTTTCTTCTTGGAAACAAGTTGTGTAGGAGAGCTGAGATCTCACTAGTCTAAGATCAAAGAGAGCTGGATTCAGAATCCATACTTGTCACTACCTGTACAATGCTGATTCTCTGATGTCAGAAATGGGGGGCCAGGGCCCCCAAGTTCATAAAGTTGTACTATTTTAAAGGTATCTTAGGGAGCATCACTCCCACCAATGCACTTTCCATCACAGCCTTTTTCCCAATATCTACAGAATCTGGAGCTCCTACAGGCTCATATTGGGGTATGTAGCTCAGATGTCTGGAGTTGCTCTACCCGCTTCACCGCCTGTGATATCTCTGTCATTTCAGAACATCTGTTCCCTTGACTCACTTCTAGCCACCTGCCCCTCACACAGTTTCCCCTGCCACCTGTGGGCTTTTTCTCTACCAGTTTAGTTCTCACTGCGTGCTCTTGTCTTACCTGCAGTCCCCTCAGTCTTAGAACTCCACATTAGTCCATTTCATTTAAGACACCATCCTTGTTAATCACAGTTCTCTTGGACCTTGACTAATCCTCTGAACTCTCAGAGCCTGCCTGTGCTTGTCCTCTCCTTCTGAATACTTACTAGTGAGCACCAAGTTCCTGTCACTATGAGACTGGGAAGGACACTGTGAATACCTACAAGGCATTCTAATCCAGTCTTGTTAGATTCAGGGAATGGTATAACTATACTTCCAGAGCCTTAAAACTCTTGTCTAACATGATTCTGCAAAGAAAATTATATTCTGTGTTTAAGATGCAGGGTAAATTCCCCTAGAGACTGCTCTCAAAATCAAGCTAACTTTGAGAGCTCCGATTTGCATGGTTAGGAACCAAAAACTATGTTCAAACAAAAAAATAAAGCAGAGCAATAAATATAAAATGGCCACAAATGTAAAAGTTGAGGCACTCTTCAGTTTAATGCAAACTAGGGGAAAATTCGATTAGGCAATGAAATCTGGTTGATATTCTGTTAGCTCCGTCCTCTGGCTTTTCTCTCTTTGTCTATGACTAAGCTATTTTACAGTTCTATAGAGATAAAAGTTCAACTGCAGAAAACAGCAATTGAATTCTTTTTCAATTTTCTATGTAGCAAAGTACCACAAAGGTACTGCCTTAAAATAGTACCCATTTACTCTATGCAGTGCTAAGAAGTACAGGCTTAGCATGACTGCGTCTTGAACTCAAGGACTCTCAAAGCTGAAATCAGGTTCCAGCTTGGACAGGGGTCTCACCCAGACCTCGGGGCTCTCTTATAAACTAATTATAATTTCTAAAAGACGTTCATTGCAGTTGTAGAACTGTCTGCTGGCTACCAGTCAAGAGTCACTTAGCTGCTACAGTCTGCCAAAAGGTTCAAGTCACAGAGGCAGGCCTTCACAGTGCATCAGGGACTCTCTCTCCAGGCTACCAGGATGGAGTCTGGGTACCATATCATAGGAGTGACTAGCCTATTTTCTTTGTTACATAATGTAACCTAATCAAGGGGAGACCAACTATGTCACCAGAGGTCTAGTTCACATTCAGTGTGAGGGGTGATAGGGCAGGTGTTGCACAGAGCACATATAGGACACCAGAAGCTAGGAACCCTACAAATCAGTCTACCACAGTAATGCAAGTCATTCCTGTTGAAATGCAACCTGTATCCAGTACACTGTCACTAATTACAGGCCTGCAGGTATCGACAAGTTTTGCTAGAGTGCATCCATTTATAAATTCATTCCAGCATTGATTATCTGACTGTGTGTTCTCTTTTGAACCAGTTGAAATATTTTATCATTTCCTTCATTAGCTATTGAATTAAAATGTTTGAAGTGTGTTCACTTATGTATGTAGCTATGATTATCCCCCTTTTAGGAATTTATCCTGCAGTGGCAGTGAATCAGTTGAAGTGAGCAAGTACCTACCAAATGTACTCCCCCAAAGAAGTCATTATCTGTGTATTCATGTCAAATTGGGCACCCAGAAACTCTGGGCACTGATGCTTCTCAGTGTCCATCTGGTCACCCATGTACACTGCCTCTACAGCTTTACAGCTTGGCTCTCTACAAAGTACAGCTGTCTAATGAGGTGATTCTGGAATTAAGCAACTGATGGGGGAGGTCTTCTGGCTTGCTAGAAATATGGTGATGGCTCTATGTATAAGAGCAATGCTGTGAGAGGCATGCAAGGGAATCAAATGACTTGGGGACATGGTGTCCTGTTTAGGAAGTACATGCCTATTCCCCACAATCTCTGGCCCTCGTCATTTCCCAGGTGAATGACACTGCTAAAATAAAAGGGGGCAGGCACAGGGGACCCTATGTATCTCAAACCTTTCTTGATCCCTCCTGGCTTTGAATTGAGCTTTCTTGTCTCTGTACATAGAATTTTGTGCATGCCTTTATGCTTGTGCTCGCCTCATTTTAGGGAAGAATCCTAACATATCTCTCCATCTCCATCTCCCTCTCCTTCCTTTCCTCCACTTCCTGCCTCCCTCTTTTCCACATCCCTCTTTACCTGACTTCTTCCCTCCCTCACTCTTTCTAAGAAGGGGAATTTAGCAAATAAAACTCTTGGATACTTCCCACCATGCCCCTATAGCATCTTGTGCTGGTCGTCTCATTTTGTTCTGACCACCAGATCAGAGAACCTTATTATTTCCAGGTGAGGCTAGAGACTCAGAAAAGGAAAGCATTCCCCAGAAATCATATCACAGGTGAAGTGATCATGTTTAAAAGTTATCTTCTTTTGGGCTGGAGAGATAGCTCAGTGGCTAAGAACACTGACTGTTCTTGCAGAAGACCTGGGTTCGAATCCCAGCACACACATGGCTGCTAACAGCTGTCCGTAACTCCAGTTCCAGAGGATCCAACAGTCTCTTCTGACCTCCACGGGCATTGTACAACATGGGTGCACTTACCTACATGCTGGCAATACACGCATACACATAAAATAAATAATAATAAAATATTTAAAATGTATCCTCTTTGCTATCAAGCTATATTGGTTTTATTCTAAAAATAATAAACATTAAATACGATGTTTGTTTAACACTGAATGCAAGTCAACTTAGTAAAACATTCAGGTGCTGTTTTGCCTTGACTCTTTCTTTACTTTTCTTTTATCTTTTTTATAGGGTCTCTATATATCCCTGGCTGGCCTGGAACACACTGTGTAGGCCAACCTGAATCTTTCATTTTTCCATATGTTTTTTTCCAAGAGCTGACAACTCCTTTTACTTTGTAAAGGAATTGGGTTGTATTTTAAAAGAGAAAAATGTATCATTCTGTTGTTAAATATGATAGCTTTATTCTCCACATTGATCTTGTTTTAAAATAATTGACAGTAAGCTATTCCATACGTACCAATGAAGGGAACTTTATGAGGGTATGCATGTTCTTTGTTCCTTTTATAGCTACTTGAAAATCTTCCATTACCTCAAAATAAGACTATTTTAAGAGCTGATTGTGCTAATTCATTTTCATTTCAAGCCACTATGTCATCTGAGAGATGTGTAATTTTCAGAAGTGTGTGTGTGTGTGTGTGTGTGTGTGTGTGGTGTAAGCACATGCTCACTTAGAGAAACTATATCAGCTTTGAAAAAATTGTGCATAGAAGTGTGCTAAATAACCATTTTAGATTATGCCTTTGCAAATTTCACATTGCTTTAAATTTTCATTGTTTTATTTTTAAAAAGATATGTGAATATTGGTTAGACGACACTAATAAAAGAGTAGGCTTCTATTCAGATTTGCCAAAATGTTACTGAGAGGAATGGGCACACCCTTAAAATGGACCAATAATGCTTATGAACACCCAGTTTGTCCTTTTCTTCATGAATGATAAAGTAATGTAACTCTTTCAATCAGATTTGAAATGTTTTTTAAATTTTATGTTTTTCATGTATTTACATATCAATTTGCTAGACAACTGGATACAAGCCAGCAAGTCCACTTTCTTTATTGTTTTCAGTGAGGTCATATTTTTACATGAAGATAAAATTGTCTAAGACAATCTCCAATAGATTTTGTGAGAATTCATATATTTTATAGAAAATTAACAACCTACTGAGAACTGACCAAAATATACATGGAATTCAAGCACATTAGGAAGGTTTGAGGATATTTATAAGTTGACTATACTTTTTTCTAACAAATCATAAAAATGGCCTAAACTAAAACATATGTTCATAGAGTAAATCCCTTAAAGACATTTCAGATCAATTACTATTTGTTCTTAACTAGTAATCAGAACGTTTCCTCTGATGGAGGCTGCTCTGAATTACCTGTACTGCTTTCTCATGTCATGCCCAACAGCATTGGTCTCCCAAATTTTGGTAGCGAGAACTCTAACTGTATTCAGGAACAGAATAAAATTCAGCTGAAAGAAAAGAGGAAGTAATATCACAAAGCATTATTAAATTAGTTTTCAAGGTATTTATAGAAATTCAGTAATTTGAACTTCTTTGTATTCAGACTATAAATTACCCACTCCATAAATGTGAATGGGGGAACCCAAGATAACATAGAAAAGGCTAGTGACCCTTCATTTTACTTCATTTAAAAAAAGGATTTTGAAAATTCAGTAGCACTAGAAACCAGAGAATAATCTGCCAGTGTCCAATTTCCAAACCAAATTTCAGTGAATCCCAGTGGCAGACTGGCAGGACAAAAAAATAAGTTATTATAGAAATGCAATTCCTTTAAAAATGAGTGAATACCTGGGTTGTCTCTGCATTTCGGGAGAGGAATAATAGAGTTGTTCAGAGCATACTCTTTATATGAAATGTACTGGGAGATATGTTAAGGTCTTATTTTTTTCTTTTCAATGGAAAGATGTTATATAAGAAAAGAACTGTGGCATAGACAGTTATATTGAATTTTAGAGGTGATGGGTTTTAGAGATGATCAAGTTCTACCTTAAAGGATGGACACAGGGGAGAATTGGTGAGATGAGCTCTTTTATGTCCAAGCACCTCAAGTGCCAATGAAGAGCTTAAACATGAAGGAAAGGTCTCCATACCACGTGGTATGGTGGTGGAAGCCTGAGCTCCCTGAGTCTTCACTCAGGGAGATGGATGCTGTTCAGAAAGTTCTACTGAGGAATAGTGGGACTATAACTGGCCATGAGGAGCCACTGTGACACTGTCAGGACAGGGGTTGGAGTGACGGAGGACCCATCACATTCTGCATTGCTGAAAACCTATTCTGCAGGGGCCTCAACCATTTCTGGAAATTCATTGCTTTGGTTACTGGGTGATTCCTATGTTTTAGTACCCAGCTCAGCAGACTGCATTAGCTCTGAACCCCTTGTCACCCTGTGTACTATCATCCTACCATGGACTGCTTTCTAGGTATCTCAACAGCTTCATGGCTTACAAGAACTTAAGAGCCAGGGAGAAAACAAGGATATGGTATGAGCCAGTACATGAGGAAGGATGCTTTTAAACTAATCATATCTGCCATTTCTCCAACACTCTCTAAACATCACTTAAGAGCAAGGGCTCTTAACCCTTGAGCCATCTCTCCAGCCTCTGAGTATCACTTTTCTGAGAAGTTATTCTTGACACCCAGCCCCAGCAGAATCCTTAGAACATGTGAATTTGGGCTAAAGCTATGGGAAAAACATGATACCCATCCCCTCAGCCTTTCATCTTCATCATTCCACAGTGCCTAAACATTCTCTGTATTTTGTCAAGATTTGTTAAATGAGCATGAACACATGAATAAATAAGATGTGCTTGCTCTGAACACAACTCAAATTAAGGTAAATCAGTCCTCCCTTCTTGATATATATTGCTCATTCACTTTTTTCCTCTTTTTAAAACATATTTTATTAATTTTGACAATTTCATATATTGTATTTTGATCTTATTCACCCCTACTCCTCCTAACTTTTTCAAGACCCATCCCTCACTTTCCCTCATATATATGGTTTGTTAGTCATATATATATATATGTGTGTGTATGTGTATATATATATACATATATATATATGCCCCACTGATAACAATTTATGCTGTCTATATACTCATGGGTGTGGGCCCACACACTGGAACATGGTTGATCTATCTGGGTCACACCCTTAAAGAAAACTGACTCTCCCTCTCCCAGCAGCCATCAATTGTCAGTAGGTCTTCAGGGGTGGGGGCTTGTGAGCTCTTCTGCCCTCCATGCTGGAATATTGATTAAACTGATCTTGTGTAGTAACCACAGATGCTGTGAGTTTATGAGTCTAGCTGTCCTGTCATGTGAGAAGACACTGTTTTGCTCCACTGATTCTTACTTCCAAGTGTCTCACAAAAGACATAATCAGAAGAAGAACTCAAAGTTGATGGATATGAAAGTTGATTGTTCTAAAACAGCTCATTGTACTTGAAATGTTTGTCTGTGCTTATGGACACAGTCTAGAGTAGGTGCCTTCCTCCCTCACTCCAGTTCTGAGTTTTCCTTCTAGGAGAAGGAATTCTGCTGTGCACTTCTTTGTCTCCCCCTCACCTTTGTCCTCCTCATCCCTAGGGGAGACAGGCTGAAGAAGTCAATGGGTGAGTGTGAGAAGAAAACCTGAGTTGGCTTGAGGCAGCCCAGCCTTCTCGGCTTTGGGAGCTTGCAGTGGGCAGACTGGGGAATCCGCAGCACCTCCAGGGATGGTGCTACCCCTCAGCATCCTGTGCCTCGATGGGGAAATCTCCACAAATTATGGGACTCTCCAACAGGCCCACTTGTCTAATGAACCCAAGACATGTCTTCCAGCCCAAGCACCAGCAGCAGTAAGACATCAGCTTTCATTATTCTCTCCCTTTGCTATAGAACTTGTCTCTCAAAGTCAAGGCAATAAAGAGAGATGCTATGTGTTAGCTCCTCCCAGAGACCCTCTAGATGCATTCCATCCACTCACATCATATACTGATTTCTTTCTTCAATATGTTGGAAACCCGGAATATTTTTACTTCATTTATATTCACATTGGTACTAATTATTAAACTTTCAAATAATAAGTAATAATCTTCCTGTTCAATTAAAAAACCGTAACTCAATTATGCAGTAAATATAAATACAAAATATGTAGTTCATTTTGCCCGCTAGAGTTCAGTTTGTAAATCAAGGACAGCATCTATGGTAAATATTAAATCTTGGATTTCATTCAAAGTGGTATGCCTGGGAGATTTTAAAAAGGGAAAGAATTCTAGAAGGCATATTTCCTTAGGGAAAAAAATCAATTTAGTTTGCAATTCTGTCAAAAGTACAGGTTAACTTCTGTCCATAAAAATAATTCCTTCTTTGCCAATCTTCCTTTTCATCCCCATCTCTTGATTTTGGAGACTAAGTCTTCTTTAATTGAGAGGAAATGAGTCATTGGTCTAAGCAGCACAGAGAAGACTATATATCTTTTTCCTTTTAATGTTTTTTAAAAGAGCAATGGATATATTTTTTAAATGTCATTTAAGATTTCCCTAAAAGTTTTTATGAGAAGTACCATCTTGTTCTTTCTGCCAGAATTCTGAGATATCCTTTTACAGGTATCTGGAACAAAACATTCATGAGGGAAAAAGCGAAAATCTGGAACTGTGTATTTAATGCACTCTAACAGCACACAGTATCCTGGAGAGTCACTCAAAGTAAACCATTAGTCATCTGATGAGCCAGTCCATGTCAAACACCAGGAACTATTTATTGAGGACAGAGATTAGTTCATAGCACAGTGACACTGCAAAGCAAACATCCAGAAACTTGTAAAGACATAGCAATAAAAAGTGACTTGAAGCAGCACTCACTACCAACCCATATTTTCCTAATTCTTAGCAACATATATGAGCAAACTATAAGACCTACATACACTCGTAGTTACATCAGTTTATGCAGGGTTATTTAAAAGTCAAATATCTATAACAGTATTGTCAAACTAATATCAGGAAGACTATCTTCAAAATGCTTCCCAACTTGAACATTCTTTGATTCTGTGGCTTATTTTTGTAGAGGTCCCAGAAAATGAACTACAGCCTGCAGATCAGTGAGTGACTGGCTCTGATTTCTTGTTTTAGGGTTTGGTTCTTTTTCTTCTTCTCCTTCTCCTTCTCCTTCTCCTCCTCCTCCCCCTGCCCCTACCCCTTTCTCCTCCCCCTCCCCCTCCCCCTGGCCCTCCCCCTCCTTCTCCTTCTTCTTCTTCTGGTCTTTTTGAGACAGGGTCTCTCTGTAGCCCCAGCTGACCTGAAACTCACTATGTAGACCAGGCTGGCCTTGAACTCACAGAGATCCACCAGCCTCTGCCTCCCAAGTGCTGGGACTAAAAGTGTGTGCCACCACACCTAGCTGGTTCTTTTCTTAATGTCAGATGAGCATTGCTCAAACACTGGGTTGTAGATTGTCTATTTCCTTACTGCTGTTCTGCAGCATTGCTTAGATGCATCTACTATGAAAAAAGTGCCTGGGGTTAGTGATACACATCTGTAATCCAAGCATTTGAGAGACTGAGGCAGGAGGCTCCAGAGTTCAATGCCATCCTTGGCTACATAGTGAGATCAAGGCCAGCGTGTACTACAGAAGAAGTCAGAGGCGAGTCTGAGGTACACGAGATTCTGTTAAGAAAGAGAGGAAAGAAGGAAGAGTATGAAGAAAGAAGGGAGAGACTGATGGATTCTGGAAGATGCTTCTATTTATCCAGTGACATATGTCAATCATTAAATTGGTAACACATTTACATTTTTATAGATGATTATATTTACCTTTTCTTGATTCCTTAAAAACATTGTCCTATTACACATTCACATTTTAATTCAGCTAACAGCAAATGAAGCAACACATTGTACATGGAAACACATCCAGCCTTCATGGGATCACAAAAATAAATGCATTTAATGAACAGAATTTGTGAGATTGACTCCCATGAAGCAACAAAAACATGGGCTTTCTTCACAAGCTGCCACAACTTTGACCTTCCTTAGTTAGAATAGCAGCATGCAATGGTTTATGGTTGCCCCTGACTCTCTGAACCCAACATGAGTTTCATATAGAAATCAAAGGACCTTCAGAACACCACAACTGATACCAGAGTCAAGCAGGACTATGTGCTTAATGGAATGGTGGATAATCAGCATCTCTTAAACAGACATCTGCTCTTCAAAATAAATCCAGCTAATCCACATAATGCATCCAGAATTTTTTTTTTCAGAATACAAACCTTGGGCTGGGGATGTAGCTCAGTTGGTCAAACATTCACATAGCACACATAAAGTCCTGGGTTACCAGTGCCCCATTTTAAAAAGCGAGGTGGCGGGGGGCAATAAGATGGCTCAGGGAATAAAGGTGATTGTTGCCAAGCCTGATAATCTGAATTCAGGTCTCAGAACCACATGGTAGAAAGAAAGAACCAGCTCCCCAAAG